AAACCATGAGTAGTTAGTGAGATATTGACGAAAACTGGATTTTCAGTAATGGCTGCCCTAATTTGCATATTGCGCGGCCCAAATTTGCATATTCAGCACAAAATACTGGTTTGATCTGTACTGAAATGGCTTAATTTCATTCGTTATCCCTCAAACATGGGGATAGACACCAAAATTATTCTGATACCATGAGTAGTTACTGAGATATTGACGAAAACTGGATTTTCAGTAATGGCTGCCCTAATTTGCATATTGTGCAAATTGCCCAAGGATGACAGAGTGGCATCATTCAGATTCTGAAGGAGCACACCTCAGAGATATAGAAACAACAAAAAAACTTTGTATGGACCGCATTGCAAGGTTCTCCAAAAATCGGGGGTTTGGCAACCGGACTACTAGCCTGTGTACCAAACCTTAGGTCGGCTTGGCGGTAATTTTTCGGCCCTGACCTTTACCAAGCACAGGCGAGTTATGTCACGGACCTGTCTCCAGCTGGTTTCCCTGTATCCACTGACTTCCTGTATTACGCTTAGTCTTCTGTTGCCGCCGACCCAAAGTTTGAGCGAAGAAACCTACCCCCTCCCCCCGAAGCGCGGTAATTGAGGCCTGGTTGGCGGCCTCAAACGCTCTCGGTGCCGCAGGGATAGCGCTGAGCTCACGGCAGTCTTGTTACCAGGCCACATGCACACGAACTCGTTCGGTGACCCAGTTTTCCTCCTGCCTCACACGGGCTTTACTGCTCACTTGTAACCTTCTAAATTGTCGTCAACGTAGAGGAGAAATCCAATATATCTTCCTTGGTTATATACTACTGATCTATACCAGTATATCTTTACTTGTATATATATATATCAATCCAGGTTTCAACGAATGAGCGTGGGAAGTGATTTGTAACCGAGCTACTGAAGGGTAAAAATGTTTGCATAAACGTTTTCTATATATTTACAAGACTGAGCACTTACCAGATTTGTATACCAGTTCTTTTCTGGTCATTAGAGGCAAAAAGGATTGTATTCGGCAATCACCATGTCAAAACAAAGAAAGGAAAACCTGTATTCTAAACAAAAGGACCCCGCGACTTTCACGACAAAGTTTCTAACACTGTGTAGGTGTAACATTTACGACTTACCTTTCATTTGGATATCGACTGTAGAAAAACAGCATACATACATAGATTGCTGATCTATAGTAAAAAAAAAAGAGAATACCTGTTTCAGGTAGCTGGTTCAGAGACAGTTAAGGGAACTTCTAGCTCTTGTGAAAACAGACACGTTATGACGATCCTTTTTTTGCCAGATAATGGGCTATACTATATATGGTTATGCTCTCACTTTCTCACCCGACCGCCTGTAATAATGCTCTATGCAAATTAACTTGTTCACAAAAGAAAGGTTTTAGGATCCCCCTTGTTAATTTCCCGTCATCGACGAAATCTTTTGTTCTGGGATTTTTAGGTCGACATTACGGAATCCCCGACGAATGCCATGAGACATGGGTAACGTTTTATTTGCTGTATGAACGCATGGAGCTTATAGTATGGTATGTCCAATTACACTGTTAAATTGTTGCCCTCGATGAGGTCAATCGGATATCTTCCTTACTTAGATAAACAAACAGTTTGGGCTACATAACATTTTCCTTGGTTGTCCTGTGTGTCAATCCAGTATTAAATGAATAGGCGTGGAAACTGTTTTACATATACATAACTAAACCAAGCAATTAAAGGGTGAAAAGGAAACCATAAAGGTGGAAACAGACAGATGTTAATGCATGCATGTAGTTTCTTCCGGTGAGCCACCCGGCCTAGCAACACCTGCGGGCAGTTCTTTGTTCTTTCACCACAAAACAACACACACGATTACATGTATATCAATCTTTGTCACTGATAAACATGGGGGCAGACAGACAACGATTTTCTTTCCTACCCATAACTAGTGAAAAGGTAATCTCTTACCAGGTGTTTCGGTAGCCAAGGCAGTATCTAACTGCAAGATAGTATACAATAGATTACCAAAGCTTCGGATGCCGCCCGGTTGCAGATTTTCATCTCTAAATAAGTTGTTGCTTTTTTACAACTTACTGTTCCTGAACGTATACCATCATATCAGTTTATTAAAAAAAGATTAAAAACACTACTAATACGTTTTGCAATTATGTGCGGAATACGGCAAGATACCCATTGTTTGTTATAATAATTGATATTTCATGAGCACAGGAAGTGACGCTATTGTTCACTCAGGTGGATCGCTGAAGCCTGCGCCTTATAACTGGTCGAGCGGCATTCTGTTTTTATCACATGGTACACACAGTATGTGGTATTTGTTCCAGCATTTTCAAATCAAATCAAATCAAATATTCATTCATAACATCAAATGGCAGACGTGCCGAAGTGGTTCGGGCACGTCTGAATAACGTTGACATTTTACAGTCATCAATATACAAACATCATCCACAAGTCTTTTACGTATATACGCGCTCTCACAATGAAGGAGTTTTTGTGTCTGTCCGATTTACTCAATGGGAGTTTCTAGTGATTGCTGTTCTTCCTATAAGATTATACGCCGTGTTCTCTCTTTGTGAAATGAAGATTGCAGGGGTGGGAGGGGCCTTGTAGTATCTGTTTTAAAGATGCTAGCTATAGAGAGTCCTTTGATCCGATATAATACAAATTGTGTTGGAAATCAGCATATAATGTTGAAGGGTCCTCCAAGGTGTTACTAGTATTTAAAAATGATGAAAGAAATTAATAAGAATATAAACAGCCTTTTTAAAGATATTAGAAACTTCTTTAAATTTGTTCCAAACAAAGGTTAGAAAGTAAAATTTAGTGTTGTCTATCAGTGCTTGAAAAGATCCGGTTGTACCGTACGAGTGATTTATAGTGGTTGGGACGGCCGCGTTTTTTTTTACTTAGTGGTCGCCACGTAACACGGTCGTTGGGCCACTTTAAGGTGACCGGTGCTACCACCTGAATGATATGACCACTCACCTGGGTTACGGGTTACCGAGTAGAACTGTAACAGCAACTCTTCTCCCTGAGTCAGAAACAACATGATTGAGACCAGCCCAATTTCTCACAAGTAGTGAGGACTAACTGACCCAATAGGTTAAGAGGATAGTCGGGGACCCAGGGGTTACGAGGCTGGTCGGAAAAATTCCCTACCCCATTTTGAGACCATAATGGTTTGTTTCACTTCCGCTCACGTGGGTTCTTTAACGTGCTTGAGGTGTGTCTCACCTCAAACACAGGACCTCCATTTAACGTCCCATCCGATAAGACGCCCCTAACCGAAGCTAGGTACTCATTTTCACCTGAGTGAAGTGAGGAAAGTCGTGTAAAGTACCTTCCCAAGGGCACAACGTCGGCGCGCATGTTCGGACTTGTTCGGGTACGACCCTGAATCGAACCCGGGTCTCCCCGTTTCTTGGTCCAGTGATCTACCACTACGCCACACGACGCCACACGGTTCTCTTCGGGACTGCAGGAGCTCTCTCACCACGCCTATTAAGGATCATTAAGCTCCTGTCCCAGTTGCGCCGGTGCCCGTCGGGGATGGACCCCAGCCGGCCCCGGCCAGGCTCTGTAGTCTGTCCGACACCGGCTGTCGTGGTCACAATTGAAAGTTGCAGTCACGCTGCCCTGCAGGGGTCCCGGGCTCCCTCATTGGTCGGCCTCCGGCAGGTGCTATTATGCAGGTACTCGGCAGGTGCTCTGACGATGTCTTGTAGTGACCCCTGTGGAGTCAGACAGGGTAACGCGTGCTTCTCACATCCCGGTGAGGCAGTTGTAGGGTCCCTGCCGCATGCCCACGAACTACGGTCAGGCATCATGAAGGCTCTTGGTGGGCACTCCTCATATTTTGGGAAACAAACGCTGCTCGGATCATTTACATTTAGTTAGTACTTTCTCTGAGAGGACTGCGCGTGTCTTATAGAGAACAATCACCCACGCAAAAGATGGAGAAGACGAAACAAATTAGTCCCAGTAGTTTCTCTGTCACAGTATTGTCCGATCAAAGCTAGGAAAATTAATGTGGCGGTTTGAACGGACAATGCCGGTAAATAAGAAGGCAAAGTGGATACGGAAGAAAAGAAAAAGCTTGTGTCAGAACAAGCGACAATCTTCAAAGTCTAAAACTGCGGGAGAGGATCTTCCAATAATATAGTGCCGAAAAGTGAACAGAGACGTCCAAATGTATTCTGTAGGTTGATACCCTAATTCCAGAGTTTTATGTTTTGTATAAAAATTGCCTCTTTCAGATTTGTAGAAATATTTGTGGTCGTTTTGTAAAAACTAGTATTTCACTTCGAGCGAGACATTTGTCTAAATCTTTAATACAAATAGAAAAAAAAGCCAAAGTTAGTTTTCATAAAGGTATAGATTTAGTAACATTAACGCTATACGTTTTTATTTTTACTTTGAACTGTGGCATGTTCATTTACATTTTCTGTGCAAAACTCAACGAAAGAACCATTGTAACCTGGCCATAAAACCGAATATTAGATGCACTAACGGTTTTAGCTGACTTACTTTAGCCCTTTTTCAAGACTTAAGGTCTACTAAGTACTTAAGTTACATTTTCATTGCTTATTAATAAGGCCATGTTGATTTGATTATATGGATGACATCCTCCGGGAGCCCCAAAGCTGATGCGCGCGTGCGAATAAAAAAAAAGTTTTGCAAAAAAAAAAGTTTTCATTATGAAATCTACGTGGTCTTGAGGGTTGAACAAATGGGACAGAATATGGTTTGGCGAATAATCTAATCTTCAAGTTCATTTCCTTACAATTTTGTCTTTTTTCGTTTGATTTTGGCATTCTACGACATTAGTATAGTTTTTACTTATTTTTTTGTAACTTACGGTATATTTTTGCTCATTTTGCAACTGTTTTGTACGATTTACAGTATGGTTGAAAACTTCTTTTTTTTTTTGGAAACGGCCGAAAATTCATGCGCGCGCGGATGTCATCCATATAATCAAATCAACATGGCCTAACCAAAATATGAAACTAATACGAAATAGGGTGGTTAGCTACTATGCGATAGGTATGAATATGAACTTTTACAATCATTGGAGGAGTTTTTAATATCTATACAATCTTTAATATATAACCCTGCATGTAGGGGTTGTCACAAGTAATTGTGTATTTAAATTGCTTTTTAGTTAATTTTGGTAAATGCTGGAATAGAATCTGATAGTCAAGTGTTCTAGACTGTGAAGGACCGTATCATTTAGGACACGGGAAGTCTATACCGGCCGCCGTCTCGGTGGGGTCACGTGTCCTAAGGGATTGACCCATTACGATCCCGATGAAAGCTTCAGTAGATCTGCCCAAACGTCTACCACTCATCTCTTACAAAACTGACTTCTGAAAGTTAAAGTCCAACATGCATGTAATGATAGAAGTAAAACTGCTGTACACAAACATATTATGCTACTGCTTCGATCAAAAGTTCTTTATACCGCGTCATATCAAGGTTTTGCATGACGTCAATATTAGGGCTTTTCTGACTCAACCCTCCCCAATCCGGTACCATCTGTGCTCTTGTAAACTCTCCCTTTGTTTCTACAGTAGCGTACACATTAGAGACGGTCTGTGCTAGGGCGTTGTCCATGGCAACGGCGGTTGCCAAGGGGTCACAGGAATCGTACGTTAGCATGCCGTCATGTTGTAGTGTTTGCGTTAGGTTGTACGTGATGTCCCGGATGAAGCGAGCCTTGGGCGTGTCCACAGATAACCAGCTTGAGAAGAAATCCTTCATAAACAATAAAAAGGAGAAAGCACGTCAACAGAAGAGTAGTTTCTCTATGAATATCGTTTCCAGAGTATATCAAAAGTCAATGTTTGAAAATAAACCTCGGGCGATATTCAAACCTTACATAATCGATTAAAAATGAGCACCATTTTATAAAATGGATTGTACAATCTACAGTGATAAGCGCCTATTACTGTTCACCTTTATTTCCGATTGTTTAATTGATTTCAATACGTTAGATCCTATAGATAAATTCAACTACTTCCTCAGGGGAGATAACCAATACAATAGAGAAATACATTAAAGAATGTTTCAATCTTAGAGACTACATGTTACAGAATAGTAAAACCTTTACTGTTACCACTGATATATATTCTGTATGTAATTTTCCACATACATGGGATGAAGTCATCCATACATGTATTTATCTTTGTTAGACCTTTAGTAGTAGTTGTAGAAGACCATACAAAAGTCCCTGTACTTTTGTTGTGTCAATAAAGAATCTATCTTCATCATTTGGTCTGGAATTAAAACCGAGGTGCCCTCGAGGAATACCAAGAAGGAGAAAAGCAAGCATATGGCGACTATTGAACCGTACTGGTAGTCCTATAAATAGCCCTATATAACAGTCGTAAAATGGCCGATCCAAAACAGACATTTCCCGTCGGCTTCGGGATGATCCGTTTTCTTCCCGGTTTCTGAGCGTCGTAGGCTTCCCTAGCCTGCAATTTTACCGTTAAATGTTGGCAATGTTTAGAGCCTCTATAGCTAACCTATACTACTGCCGAGATTTATGACATGAACACAACCGAAAAGCCACTGATGTTCGGTGACGCTGCTAGAGTAAACCTAGCATCTTCTTCGTCGCAAAATTACAAAAACTGATCATTTTCGTGGCAAGAAACCGACGTCTGGTTCAATCAGCAGAACTTCCCACGACTCTTTTGAGGCCTAATAAGGCTATTAGGCAAATACCTGATTCAAGAGACACCACGGCTGGTTCATCAATATTAAGATCGACTTTTTTTCTTGTAGGTAGATCAATATTAATTGCTAAAAAATGAATATCAGAATTTTTATCCATCAACGTACCCATTCCAGTCCGTGCTCCTGACAGACCTCCCACGGTACAACCTTCATGGGACACTTGTACTCCCGTAAAACAACCTGCGCCGCTTCAGGGTCCATCCAGAAGTTAAACTCCGCAGCTATGTCCATGTTACCTACTCCTGTGGACAAGAAACGGCCAACATCATAACATTTGGAAACGTCGATGAATGTTAGACATCCAGGTAATAAGATATACGTCGAAAAGTATTTCTCTTCTGGTCTCTCAGTCACTGACGAAAGCTAGTGGATACTAGCTGAAACGTCTGACCGTTTCCAAAATCATATCCAGTTGCTTTAGTAACTGCTTTTTGGTATATAACATTTGGAAGATTAGAGCTTCACGACCTTATACCTTAGCCACATTATGCTAGCCTTTACCACTGACGAATCATTAATGTTTTCAATTAATATGTATTATGCAAATATAGTATAATATGTATGCAAATACGATCCCCATGATGTGCATGATCGTATCAGTCGATTATATTCTGTACACGATGACAGTCTTATCTTAACAAGGAATGTCATTAGATTTTCATGAATCATGCAAACGATGATATGATTTTGATATCTTAAAGTCACTCTATGTAGTTTTTTGACAATACAAAAAGTATATTTCTTATTCTTTTCTTTACATAGTACATTGGCTTAACCCATTAGTATTCCAAAATTATACTCCACAGCAAAAAATACAACATCCTTGCTCCTTAGAAGCTTAGAAAACTGTGAATGATCTTCTATTCAACCTCTGGCCAAACCACACATATGGTATTGTCCACTCCCAGTGGTTTGACCTACATCCCAGTGGGGTGTCAGTTGATAGCTTACCAGTTTCTGAAATACCTAATCGTTTACCAGATTTTTTATCTCTTTTGAGGGGATAATGACCACAGTTTATTCATGCCCAACAAAATACTCTAAGTTGATAATTATATTCCACCTCATGTGAAAGATATGAGTTTTTTCTAAGGAGGGTATATCTTGTGACATCTGCCCCTGTCTATCAAGCCTGGCATGCCCGGGCCAATTAGCCACCCTAGGGGGCAACCCCTGTCTGTTGTTGTTGTTGTCCTCAGAGCAAACCGGTGGCACCGGGAACTGAAGAAGGACTAGTACTGTTTGAACGGACAAAATATACGAAAAAAATGTGAAATAATGACACAAATGTGTTGAAAAGTGATAGTAACTGCTAATAACACCGAAATTTAGTATAATTAGAATATTTCAATTTTTTGCGCAAAAAACTACATAGAGTGCCTTTAACTTTCAAATGCTGCAAGCATGAAATTCCCGGCAGTTACCACTACAGAATTTTAGCATGTTGGTATTGGTTATGCAAAGTGGATACTGATTTACATGAATTGATATCTGCCAAATTGAATGTTCCTATCGTTCTCAATTACATATATACGTCCCAAGTTTGAAGTCTTCTCATGGAACGCAATAGAATCTCCTCCAAAGTTTCCGGCCGTGCCTTCGTGCTCTTGTGCAATGGCCACAAAATACAATTAAATTGTGTATTTATGTAAATGTGTGATTTGCCCGCTTGTGTCTGTGCGAGATTGTTTAAATGTTTGTGTGTGCACGCGCATATATTTATGTGTGTCTACTATGCAAACATTTTGCCATACAACAGTTTCACAGTAAATGCACAAGTGAGATTGTGACCTGTTCTGACCTCTGATGTTGCCTCCCATGATGATGATCTCCTTGAAGCGTGAGGAAATGTCCGGGTCCATCCTCCTGGCCAGCGCCACGTTAGTCAGCGGACCGAGGGCGATCAGGGTGATCTGGTTCGGGAAGGCCTTGGACATCCGTATTAACGTCAAAACGGCGTGTTCTGAAGGGAAGCAAATATCTGGGCTGAATTGAAATCTTAAACGCATCCGATTGCAATTTTATGTTGTGGGATGGGGGATCGAAACAAAAATTATCCTGAATGAGGAAATCTGTCAAATATTGACATTTACTGCTATTCTAAGTACGTTTTATCGTCAATTCATACTGTCACAACGCAACTGGTGTCAGCGGTGGGATTCGAGTCCACGCCATTTTGGACAGGGTCAAGCGGTGGTTTTGACCGCAGATCACAGTATTAATGAGTAACCCCCGGGTCTATGACACGCGTATAGAAAATAGTGCGGATAAACATCTTGAATCCTGGCTAGAACGACTTATGTGAGAGGTATCCAGGAGTAAACTGCGCTGTGTGGTATAGAGCGCGCGTATCGGCTTTTAGACCGTATGATTTGGATTGTGAAGATTTTCCTGTTCGTGTATAAATGCGCCGCATTGCGCAACTACGTTCCAGCGTGAGCCGGCTGCAGTTCCGTTGACCTCCGCAGGTGGCCAAATAAGAGAGGTCGTCACAATGTTAAAAAACCATAACTATTTTGTTTTCAGTTATTTAGTAGATCATACTGTATATTTCAACATATTAGTTGTTTCTCTAGTGCACCCTACTATAATTTTTACCGCGTCGAAGTGTTTTGCCACCATAAATTATTCTACTGAAGTTAAGTAAAACGTTTTCTCTTGGTTGAAAGGCTTTATCGAAGCTAACCTTTTCAGGCTCTATGGCCCTTTTCCCACTAGGAAATAATCCGGATCGAAGCCGGGTGGAAGCCGGATCAAAGCGAATCCATTCGGCTCGATCCGGACAATTCTATCCTAGTGAGAAAAGGGCCTATGACACGGAAACCTCCAGGTAAAGTTAACAGGTGCGCACCTGTTTGATTGATGAGGCTGTAGTCAGGTGGGCTGGTGTCGGGTACATCTCCCAAACCGTCAGCTCCGTTCCAGTACGTGTGATCATAAACGTCGTGCCCCATGAGTTGGAGAGATGACCCTACGTACACAGGGACCTGAAAAAAACAGAGAAATGGGAAACATGAAGTAAACTGGGAAAAGCGCCCTGGGAACAGCTATAACTAAAACTAAGATACATTTCCCTGCTGTTTTCTGCCATGACTTTGAAAGCTCGATTATAACCCGGTAGATCACATAAACTAACAAGAGTTTTGTGATCTCATACCTTCGTAAAATGATGGACGACAGACGAATTTAAAATGTTTCTCATGATAATTTCGCTAATAAAAGCCTTATTTTCACCAATAATTTCACATGATCATATTCCACACAGACGCAGGCATAAGGTACTGGAAGAACTCACATCCATGCGCCCGGCAGCCTGTAAAATCCTCAGCGCGTTCCGAGAGGCCATCTGAACTTCCCGCGCATTTCCCTTCACACACGTGACCGCCAGCACGCGCACTGCAGGCTGGGATAGCACCATCATCATGGCGATGGCGTCATCAATCCCGGGGTCCACGTCAAGGATCACCAGTTTCTCCTCTATTGTTAAATAACAAGTAAAAACACAAAACATGAAACAAGGAAGGTAACAATAACATTTGCAAGCAATCGCATAATATTGACCTTCACATGCCTTATTGTTTACTCAAACGCATGCATATATACATGGTTACTAGCTCCTCCAACTCTGTTCTGCCACTTGCTACATAATGCAATCCGACACGACAGGTATCATGGTGACACAAGTCTGGTTCAGGTCATTGACCGTATGTGTTTGGAAAGGAAGAAGAAGGAACAGAGCAAAAACAATAATTTTCTTTCCATGAAGGTAAACATGAAAAGTATAACGTAAGCTGTATAACATGCAATATTTATCTACGGTTATTAAAAATTAGAATCATTTTAACTCTTTAAACCCGGGAACGCTGGGAACTACGCATTGTATGATTAAAATGTAGTACCTTGTTGTCCAGCACGATCTGATGACCTAACACTTAGGCCAACTCCAAGTCCAATGGCAAGTGCCAACAGGACCACTCCAATAGCCTGTAGGTGATAATAGGAACTGTTACAGACAAATCAATAGTATACATTACTGGGTTTCTTGACCCTAGGGCTAAAAATGGTTGCCACCTTCTGTAGTTTCCGCTAAAGTAGTTAAGAAAACTCTTGTTCTTCACAATTGACGCAGATGAAATCCCTCTGAACCACTGTTGGATTTTGTCGAATCAATTGAAGAATGTGTTGTTGTTTCAAGGTTAATATTTACAAAGTAAAGAGTCCAAAGTCCACATCCTCTACACTAAACACTGATCTGGATTCATTAAAAGGAAAATATTGTGTTTTCTTTGTACAGTAAATTGGACTACACATTAATGTACATAAATTATGTCTGACCAGCCACGCCTAGCGCCTGACGTTGTAATTTGAGTCAAATTTAACCCCCGAACACACCCGGACACTGTTGACCTACTGCCGAACACCAGCCAACCATAACCGAACCTTCCGTCCACACCAGAATGTTTTAAACATTTTAAAACATTCGGCTGGCGTAGCTGACCTGATCAGAGACACTAGCCAACCACAACCAACCTGGCTCCCGACTTACTCCTAACCATAATCGGAGGGAGTTAGGCTATACTAATTATTCGTCTATGAAGCTTTTTAGACTCGGGTAGCTAAAACTGCAGAAGAACTTACCACCGACAGCAGAAGAACATGCCTCGCTTTTGTGGAGGAGTTTTCACCCATGACGTTAAAAACTTCCTCGTTGGTTGAACAGTCTAAACACACACGGGACAACACTGGTTCCGGGTCCTATGTTGGCTCCCTGTACCCGCGCGTGCGTGTACTGAATTGGAAGTGGGTCACGATATGTTACGCTGAAGGGCAACTTTCAAGCCAAAAACATACATGTATGCATGATCCTTGCCAAATTATGTACATGACCCGGAAACAACATGGGGGGTTCCAATATACCTAAAACAAGGGGTAGGAGGGGTTAAGTCGTGATGTGGGAGTCTAAACCTAACCTAACCCCGATCGTAAGTATTGTAACAGGTAACAGTAGGATTATTAGTTAGATTAAGTTCGCAGGCTCTGTAGACCCCGGATGTTAGCTAGTCAGCAGTTTTACCAGCACTCTACCAGACTCCAAGGTCCCGGATGTTGACCCAGTTAACTTATGACTCTTCTAATTCCCTTCAGGCCAGAAAACCACTTTCCAAGATGTGCCCCGCCGGTTGAAACCGGTTTGAGTCATTTGCATTTACTTCCAACCAATCAGGAGTGAGTTTCCAAAATGATCACCAACTGTCAATCACATAGCGTTTGGTACCTATTCGGACACCCTCCCGTACTCCGGGAGAAAGATCTTGAAGCGCCGGCCTCTCAACACCCCCGACCCCGGAGTCAGTATAGTTGTAATGATTCTATGAGTCTAGATTAGCGGGTCTACTACCTGTAGATCGAAGCCGTCACTTCTGACTAGGTATGTAATAACTTTCTAGGTAACATTTATGCCGCACTTTTAGCCAGGGGTTTTGATAAGTAGTATTCTTATACTTCTGTGATCTTTGTTCTGTATCGCTACTGTCTCATGTACTCGTAGAATTGTTACAACCTACTCTCCTCTTAGCTTGCCAACTTGTGCTAGGATCAGAGTTGTATGAACAAATCCTTCGGTGGTATATCGTATCCCGTGGCTCGTGTCGATCCTTAGTTGAGCTAGCGTAGTGAGAGTACGCTTAGTGTTTAAGACCTAGGATTGACGGTAATCCGCCCTAGACCTCGACAACACTGTACTTGGGAAGCAGCAAACGGTCTGTTACAGTATAACCCTAGCCCTGAACAATGTGATCCCAATTCTACATGTAACCCGAACCCTTATACTCTCCAAGCAGAGGTTGATGGTGGAAGGTCGTTTGCTTTTTATATATGGCCACTTTTTTTGTCGCTACCACATGGTTACAGACTGGCTAATTTGATACTGTCTTACCCCCACCAAAAGATCTGCTTGGAGATTACCTAACCCTAACTCTACTACCAATCCTAACCCTAACCCTAGCCCTAAACATCTGACCTCTCACGTATATGGCAGCTCAAGGATTTGGCTCAACACCGGATATGCATGCCAGCGATCAGTGAGCCTTCAAAGAAAATGACCTTTCTTTATTTACCACAAAGGGCCATGGGCGCGCGATAGGTCACATATCAGTAGATAAATAGCTGTTCTTAGCTTGCCGTTTGTTAAAAAAAACTAGAAAAAAAATAAAATAAATTGATTTTGGGGACCCGGCACTTACAGTTTACTCCATATCATAATGGATGAAAAATAGTGTTTTTCCCCTGCAGGTTTCTTAGTCACCCCCCCCCTCTCACTCCTTCTACTGCCATTTCGTCAAACTCATCCAACTTCTTCCGAATTTTAAGGCCAAATTTGACTTGAGATTTGGCATGGATGTGGTCAAATACTTTAAGCACTTTAAGAAGACAGTAAGCACGTTTGTAAAATAGGCCAAGGACACCTTGCTATATGCCTCTTCATTTTTTTAACTACTCTTTTCTCCAAGCATCACAAAGGACATAATACAGGAATCGTTTAAACGACTAGTTTTTGATGGTGATAAAGAAATCTTCCAGTTCGCTGTTGGACGGTGTAAGCTGCATGTAAGAATAAGAAGACAGAAGTCATGTTTGTACTCACCTGTCTGTCACAAGAAACCTCAAGATATTTGCCAGCAATGCTGTCTGGAAAGGTTTCCGTCAATCCTTGATTTTCCTTCTACCCCGTCACTACAGATGTCTTTGGGCGCAAGTCTATTACTGTTTGGTCCACCACTGAAAAGCGTCAAATGGTTCCACCAGTTTGATCTGAAATGGCCTTCTGGTTTCTGAGACGCAGCAACGCTTGGGGAAGAGAGTGATTCCGTACGTATACCTGAAGAACTGGTTTTTAGTAGCCTTGTCCAGCAATGTAACGTAGGGCAGATATTACAGTTATGGTTGGTCATAGGAACCTATGATTAACTAGAAAGGCCAATATTTGCTTTGGAGCAAATACAGCGATGGGTTCACCACATTTTACCACATGGCAGGGAAAGAATGAGAAACACAAGGGAAAACAATGATTTACATTGATATAACTATAATATGAAGTAACATACAACTAAAACAACAGTTGGATAGCTATTCCCTACTTTATTGGTTAGGATTTTTAATTGCATAATGCAAACTGTTGATTTAAAAAAAAAAAAAACGTTCATGCCCTGCATTCCAATGCTGGAGCAGAAAAGCTTGAAATACCTACCAAGACACTTGAATAAAGACATACTGTCAGTATGGAAATGCTCTGTGCAGGTGTTAATCAAGTTAAATCCCAACAGCCAATCAGCAAGAAATGCTCTGTGCAGGTGGAAATGCTCTGTGCAGGTGTTAATCAAGTTAAATCCCAACAGCCAATCAGCAAGAAGTATAGTGGAAAGCTGCATGCCTATTGGTTGATGCCCTGCATTCCATTGTGATGACTCATGCCCAGACATCACAATACAGAGGTGACAGTGAAAACCGTGAACATTGACCCCCCGCTTGCGTTGCGGTACAGTAAAAAAAAATCGGGAATTACAGCAATCAATTTACTGAGTATGTTTGCTTAGTTTCCAGATGTTTTGTACTTGTAGTTTTTAAATGAACGAAAACCGATGCGCGCACAGATGTTACTTTTGTGACAACATCAAAGTGATTTTGGTTTGTATGTTGAAAAAATACAAAAGACTAACATTCGAAGTTATTGAAATTCTTGAGTAAGAACAATCAGTTTTGGAATGTTAAAAGCAAAGCAATGGATATTAAAACGAAAATGTTAAAATTAAATGTTGAAATTGTTAAAGGCACTCTATGTAGTTTTTTGCGCAAAAAATTGAAATATTCTAATTATACTAAATTTTGGTGTTATTAGCAGTTACTATCACTTTTCAACACATTTGTGTTATTATTTCACATTTTTTTCGTATATTTTGTCTGTTCAAACAGTCCTTCTTCAGTTCCCGGTGCCACCGGTTTGCTCAGGCAGGACAACAACAACAACATACAGGGGTTGCCCCCTGGGGTGGCTAATTGGCCCGGGCATGCCAGGCTCGATAGACAGGGGCAGATGTCACAAGATATACCCTCCTTAGAAAAAACTCATATCTTTCACATGAGGTGGAATATAATTATCAACTTAGAGTATTTTGTTGGGCATGAATAAACTGTGGCCATTATCCCTTCAAAAGAGATAAAAAATCTGGTAAACGATTAGTTATTTCAGAAACTGGTAAGCTATCAACTGACACCCCACTGGGATGTAGGTCACACCACTGGGAGTGGACAATACCATATGTGTGGTTTGGCCAGAGGTTGAATAGAAGATCATTCACAGTTTTCTAAGCTTCTAAGGAGCAAGGATGTTGTATTTTTTGCTGGGGAGTATAATTTTGAAATACTAATGGGTTAAGCCAATGTACTATGCAAAGAAAAGAATAAAAAATATACTTTTTGTATTGTCAAAAAACTACATAGAGTGACTTTAAAATGTAAAATGGTTAAAATTGTTGAAATTGTTAAAAATGTTAAAATTGTTAAAAATTGTAAAAAGGATAATTAAAAATATCCAGTGTACCGGGGTTCGAACTCGTAATGTCTGGACTTGCAGCCCTGCGCGTTACCAACCGAGCTATCTGGACACGTTTCCATTACTCACTGCATTGTATGTCATATAAAGTGAACAACATGGCGGTAACGATCGCTTCAAGTACTAGTAAGGTACTCTCCAAGCAGAGGTTTGGGTTTTGGGGGTATTTTTAGCGTGTTTTTAGGCTTTTTTATCGGGGTTTCTCTTTTGCACTGAATTTTGTTTCCCACCAAACCCAACCTCTGCCGGCACTCACCTCGGGGAGGGCAAACCTATTCAAAACAGGCGATAGTGCCCCTCCCCGGGAACCATCAAACTGTCATTAGGGATATCCATTTTATTGTGGTGGATTATCACACTTCTAGGCAGTCGGAAAGGCATTCATTGGGCCACACGCCTCCTGCTGACTGTGCCTATTCATACGTCTGGTTCACACCTCCTTGCAGAACGACTGAAATGTGTTGAAATGATTAGGTTTATAGCCCATTGAAGTTTTCGACTGCCTGCAGAGGTTGGGTTTGGTGGGAAAAAATTAGTGCAAAAGAGAAACCCCGATAAAAAAGCCTAAAACACGCTAAAATACCCCCAAAACCCAAACCTCTGCTTGGAGAGTACTAGTAAGGGACTTTCTAGGAGATACACTCTACAATTTTGGTGATTCTTCAGAAATCGATAACAGAATATATAATACTAGTCGGTGAAGATTGTGGAAAATTGTTGATACCGTGGCGCGCGCGCGTGCGCCGACGATACACATTACGTACCGTTGTTTACAGTACTCGCGGGGCGCAGGTCATTGACCTCCCGCTTGCGTTGTTCCAACAGAGAAGAGCAAAATATCTGCCAGTTTTTGCGTCAGATTTCAGTGTTTGTTAAAATCTTATACAGGCATCCATGCAGCTATAATTCTTCCAACTAGTTCGTAGTTAGGTGAAATGTTTATAGGAATCACACGAATCGGTATCCAGTATCAGAGTATCATGGCCCACGGCCGAGACCGCGTGGACCAGCTGCGCTGGTACGTGAAAATGGTAGTAAATAAATTAATTAGCCAACAGCCAATCAACAGCCACATCTGCAAACATGACCACACCTGCTTGTATGCCCATATTTGGGCCTTCCCCCGAATTCCTTTCTTAT